TTTCTACCTGTCCTAAAGTTCTATCAATAATAATAAAGAATAAATAAAGTGATGAAAGCTTATGCCAAAAATAAACAAAATACAACATTTTTAAAAAAAAATAAATTTGGGCTTAGGCCCAATCTCTTCTACTCCATGGCTTGTTTTGCATTTTCAACTTCGAAATTTGTACGCTGATTTTTAGAATTTGCTCTTCGATTTTCAAAGGGTAGGCTGACTCAAACGATAAGACAATATACATACAACTAAAGAAAAAACCTACGAACTAAAACATGTAGAGGCAGAGTCTCCAGATGACTAAAAAAAATACAGATCCTATCTAAACCAGAGAACAAGTAAAGAGCACTAGGGAACACTTTAACGCATGATAAAACCATGAATATAATTTTAGAGACTATGGACTCAATCCAGAACCAATAAACCTATATTTTTGAGAAAATGCAAAGGCTACAACGGAAAAATGCTAAAAAAATATACATGTATCTTGGACTTAGGGTAGCCGAATAACTTCAGTACAAATCTCATGTCAAACAAGTGAAAAAAAACAAATCCCCGTTGCCGATTTCAAAGAAACAATGATATGAAGAGAGTGACAAACCAGAATCGTGCAAGCACAGAGAGGCGTGGCTAAAATTGCCTGAGACAGGAAAGAGGAAAGGATAGGGGCGTGAAATCACCGTTGGGTTATGACTCACGCGTTGCTCTGGAAAACGGGGAATAACGTCGCATATTGTTGGAGAGTAATCGTACGCGTTGTGATCTACTGTCGCATTGGAATTTCTGGGTTCGTTTTGGTAAAAGGGAAACGAGGATTTGGGTCAGATGTAACTTTGAGATGAGGCTGGGTCAGTTATGGAGAATTTGGCTACAGGCCTAAATTCTTTGAAGTCTTAGCTCATATCAGAAGTTAATTTGCCTGAGCTGAAAAACTTGGCTGAAATCTAAGATAAGATGGAGCAAGATGAATTAAAAGACGAATTTTTTTAACATTAACCAAAATAAAATAAGTAATCTACCTATAAACTAAATAATTTAAGATAGACTATTATGTAGCTAAAATAGTTGACAAAACTCTATGCAAAACTAAAATCTTTTGAGACAATTTTGAATATTCATAAGAAATGTCAACATGATTTTTTAACTACGTAAATTAAAATGTATCACCTAAAATTATGAAAAAGTGGTAAGGTTAATTTAGAATAACTTGAAAAATATTTTTCACTTTGTCAAATCTAATTATTTCAAAATCTTTTAAAATTAAGAAACTCGTCAATTAATTATTATCGGGGAGGGTCAAAATTGGGTGTCAACAACTGTCCCTTATTTTACTCGGATTGATGCAAGAAATTCGAGGAAAATAAATTTGACTTAGCTTATTTTGATCAACTACATATTCATATTTGGGGAAGGGATTTGACACGGACTTTGGAGTTATGGCCGAACCCAGGAAACGGGTTTCCTACATATCTCCGGCTATAGGAGAATTTAGGCCACTTGTAGTTTTGTATGCTTGATTTGATGCACGATTTTCTGAAAGAATCCAAAAGTCATCTCGATGCAAAATTATGAAGGGACCGCAATGCTCTTAAACAAGAATTTAAAACAAAAGGTCGGAATACAGCCGAGTTTTTGACATTGAACCCGCCTATATATCCTTAAACCTTAGGAATCAAGCAAATCAAGCTTATGTATTATGATTGCAATATAATCTTCAATATACTCTTCATTTGATGTCGAAATAAATAAAATCTGATGAATTGTTGATATTTCTATTGATGTCGTCTCTTATGATTATTTTAGCGTCCAATCTTGCCAAATAATGACGCAGTTGATGTCGATGGGTAAATACTTCTCTTGAGACGCACAATTTCCTTCTCTGGCAGGGCATGATTTCTTTCGCGCATGAATATCTTCCCTCGATGCGTGATTTATCTAGGTATGAATATCTTCCCGTGATGCATGAATATTAACTCACAATGCATGATCTTCCGTGATGCATGAATATTAACTCGCGATGCATGAATATTAACTCGCAATGTATGATATTCCGCAGGCATGAATATCTTCCCGCGATGCATAACTTTCTGTGAGACCTTTATATTTTCTCGCGATGCATAACTTTTTGCGAGGCATGAATGTCTTCTCGCGATGCATTGTCTTTCCACGATGCATGAATATTGACTCGCGTTGCATGATCTTCCGCGATGCATGAATATTAACTCACGATACATGATCTTCTACGGGGAATGAATATCTTCCCGTGATGCTTGAATATTAACTCGCGATGCATGAATATTGACTCGCGATGCATGATTTTCTGTGGGCAATGAATATCTTCCTGCGAAGCCTGATTTTCTGCGATGTATGAATATATTTTCGCGTTGCTTGCATATTAACTCGCGATGCATGAATATTGACTCGCGATGCCTAATTTTTAGCGATGCATGATTTTCAGCGGGGCATGAATATCTTCCCGAGATACCTGATTTTCTGTGGTGTATGAATATCTTCTCGCGATGCTTGCATATCAACTCGCGATGCATGATCTTTCGCGATGAATGAATATTAACTCACAATCCATGAATATTGATTCTTAATGCCATCCTTGGTACCAAATGAAGAAAATGCTCTAATCATACAACATAGTTATCTTCTGGGTTTTTCTGGATATTCATATCGTCTCAATTGGAAATAACAGAAAAATGACCCTTCAGGTAGTGTATCATCTAAATCGACAATACAAATAAATGACCCTTCGGGTAGTGTATCATCTCAATCGACAATACAAATAAAATGACCCTTTCGGGTAGTAGTAATATCATATGTGATAATATGATGCAGATGATATCCTTTGCAAAACCGTAAATCCTTTCTTGAGATTTTCGCTTGATTCACCTTCGATATGCACAATATAAAATAATTCCTCCGTCAACAAAAATATTGTCAATTTGGGAGAGCTTTTACCCCTTAACTTTTCCATACCGTCGATTTAAGAATTTTGTTGATTTTCAGAGCAAAACTATAAACCTGCGTCCAAAGAAAAATTGTTAGTTTGAAAATGAACTGATCTGTGTCGATTCTTCAGTCATCTGCTCCCTGTGATGATATCTCCGGTTGATTTTCTTCATCTCCCAACTCTTGATAGATGAGACAGAATATTTTATACCAAAACACATGAAACACCATATTAAAAATTTTAAAAAAAATAATTTTTCGAAAGAAGTATTTTGAGATAAAGGGTCACTGCCAAGTGTCATGTCACGTCAGGCTTAACTAACTTATTTGAGTCTGATGCTTGGAGGCATATTTGATTATTCAAAGTCATCCTAGACTGTTGACAAACTCCAGTTGAAATTTTGATGCCATCTTCAATCTTGTCCTGTTGAGGAAAAATCATCTTCTCGAGAATTTTTTATACCCTCTCAAAAATTGTGTCCCATTTTTGAGATGGAATATAAACCTTACGGGAAATATGACCGACCTCTTGTGGCATCTACGTATTCTGTTGAGGTAGGAAGAAAGTCAAACGTAGTTCCCTCTCAAAGGTTGACACTAATAAGAAAAATTACAAATAAAATTGACCGATGCCGACATAGGCCGCCTACGTATCTCATTCTTGATAGTTCAGGTCAAACGTAGTTCATTACACAAAGAAATATTCAAAGGGATAAATGGGGTGACCGAGGCCAACATAGGCCGCCTATATATCTCTTTCTTGAGAATTCAGGTTAGACATAGTTCATTACAAGAGGGATAAAATATTAAACAAAAGAAATTACAAGCAAGAATAGAATGCATACAAGGAATGATAGAAATATAAACACTAAGCTTCACACGTAGTATCTCTTGACAGCATCTGAGTTGATTGGTTTCTTCCATGCGGTGCCATCCATCTCCGACAGGACCAAAGCACCTCCAAACAATACTTTGTGAACCATCTAGGGTCCTTCCCAATTTGGTGCGAATTTTCCTTTGTACTCGTCTTGATGGGGAAAATAAGCTTAAGGACAAACAGATCGATTTTAATGGATCCTTGGTCTGACTCTCTTGTGGAAAGCACTAATCATTCTCTGTCGATATTGTTGACCATGACAAATAACAACCATCATCTTCTCGTCAATCTGGGTCAACTGATCAGTTCTCTTGCTCACCCATTCAGAAATACTCAAGTCAGCATCTTGGATGATTCTCAATGACGATATCTTAATTTCAACAGGTATGACTGCTTCTGTTCCATATACTAGCAAATACGGAGTAGCCCCAATCGATATTTTGACGGTTGTTCGATAACCCAATAAAGCACATGGCAACATCTCGTGCCAACCTCAGTGATTTTCAATCATTTTCCTTAGAATCTTCTTGATATTCTTATTGTCAGTCTCTACAGCTCTATTAATTTGGGGACGATAAGCGGTTGAGTTTCAGTGAGTGATCTTAAATTGTTCACAAATATCTCTAATCACGTGACTGTTGAGATTCGTACCGTTATCAGTAATGATGGATTCTGGCACTCCAAACCTGCATATCAGATTGTTGCTAACAAAATTAGCTACAACTTTTTTGGTCACTGACTTGGAAGAAACTGCTTTACCCACTTGGTGAAGTAGTCGATGGCAACCAGAATAAATCTGTGTCCATTAGAAGCGGCTGGTTCTATTGGACCGATCACAAGCTACAAAAGGCCAAGGTGAACTCACAACATTCAGTTCGTGAGGCGGCACTCGGATCAAATCACCGTGCACTTGACATTTATGACATTTTTGCACAAACTTGCAACAATTATTCTCCATAGTCATCCACAAATAACCGGCTCACAGGATCTTCCTTGCCAAAGTGAGTCCATTCATATGTGTGGCGCAAACTCCAACATGTATTTGTTCAATAAAGTTTGTTGTTTCAGCAGAATTAACACATCTAAGAAGACCTAAGTCTGGAGTCCTCCTATAAAGAATTTCTCCACTTAGAAAGAGATTAAGAGTCATACGGCGTATCAACTTCTTCTAGTTGGATATAGCATCTTCAGGATAACTCCCGCACTCCAAATAGTTCTTTATATCAAAATACCATGGCAAACAATCTGGTTTTGCTTCAACATGTGAACAATGGACTGGATGTTCTTTCAGCTCTATATCCAGAGGATCAATATAATCAGTATCTGGATGTTTAATCATTGAGGCGATGATGGCAAAAGCATCGGCCAACTCATTTTTTATTCTGGGAGTATGTCTGAACTTGATCTTATGAAATCTCTTGCACAACTTCTGTACATACTGCACGTAAGGTATAATATTTGGGTTCTTCACGGCTCATTCTCCTTGAACTTGATGAATAAACAAATTTGAATCTTTGATAACTAGTAGCTCTTTCACATTCATGTTAATGGCTATTCTCAAACCAATATTACAAGCTTCATTCTCAGCCATGTTGTTTGTGCAATTAAATCGGAGCTTAGCTGCCATTGGATAGTGTTGACCAGATTCTGACACTAAGACCGCTCTGATACCTTTTCCATGATGATTTGCCGCTCCATCAAAGAATAATCTCCAGCCATGATACATTTCAAAAATATCTTCACCCACAAACGATACTTCTTCATCGTGGAAATTAATGTCGAGACCCAAAAATGGGCATGATGGAACTCGTCTTATCCCACCAAGACAAGTTAGCCTAAAACCCATATCTAACAAAGTGTGGAAGTAAATGACAATCCAACAACAATTCCTATTATGAAACCAAGTTATATTAATCCAATCCCCAAAATCAGGTTGTCACGTGCACAAGCCTCTAATGTAAATATTAGAATTGAAATAAAATAGAAGTCTAAAGTGAAGTTGTCTTTCAAGTAAAAACAAAGTCATAAACTGGAGTAGGAAAGTTCGCTGAGATGACAAGCAGCTACCTCACAATCCTCCACAAGATGCCTCGGAAACGAAGATAATGGAAGGTATCACAAAAATCCGGGCTCGTAACCTACAAAAAATTGTAGAAGCAAGGGGTGAGTACCAAACCACGCGGTACCCAACAAGCCAACCTCTAAACACAAGTTAAGTGAACAAAATACGGGTACTCCTTACACCCTATCTAAACCTCCACGCTACAGCCTAACAGATTACAGTTTACAGTTTACCAAACACACAACTCAATAACCACACTATATCAGTTTACACATTCTCAATAACAACTCAATATTCACCAGTCACAAGCTTCACAGAGAAACAATCACAAGATCAGCAAAACAAGTGTTCAAGCTAATTAATAATAAAATGTGCAATGCTATGAGATGCAATGTCAAGTATAATGATGCATGTCTTTCTTAACGATACACGCCCGCTGTCTCTCAGTCCGGGACCCATGGGGGACATATCTGTCCATGCATCTGTCGCGGCGCACGACACGACCCTCGATAATAGTAACCATCGCGGTGCGCGATACGTCCCTCGAAATATAATATCCATCGCGGCGTGCAATACGACCCTCAAAATGATAATCCTTATACCACAATCATGTCTCAGATACAATGCAATTGACATGCTCAAATGAAAATGAGGAGATAACCATTTTGATAACAAAACACGATTTACAACCAGGAATACAACACCAACAAATAAGCAACAAGTCTCCAAGTCATTCTCAACACCACACAAAGAAATACACGAATTTCACACGCTTAACAAGGGTTTAGAAATCCACTTGCCTTAGACAATCGAATAATTACTCTTGGACTGGAAAGAAGCCCCCTTCCTCGATTCCCAATACACAAGTGACCTGATAGAGAAAGTCAATCCCCTCACAAATCTGTGGATCCTTTCTGTCTCATTTGGAATAATGTCCAACGCATGCCTAGACAACTGGAAAAAATGCGCCTCATACTCTATAACCGATAAACCATCCCGTCTCAGACTCTGAAACCTCAAGCGACTCTCCTCTCTCACGCTCCATAGGATAAAACGATCTTGGAATGCACTAGCAAATTGCTCCCAAGTCACTGGAGGAGATCCAACTGGAAAACATCCCTAATAAGTCCTCTACCAGTCTCTCGCTGGTCCACGAAGCTGGAGTGTAGAATATCGAACCCCATGTGACTCAGCTAATCCAACCACCACTAGTAACTCTCGGCAGGTAGTTAGAAACTCATGAGCGTCTTCGCTCCTCCCACTCTGAAACTGAGGTGGGTCCATCTTTTGAAATCTCTCATGCCTACGCTGTACATCCTCTGTCAAAACAACCATCGATGCAACTTGACCCCCAACTGCTGATGCAACATCATTCTTAACCGCGGGATCTACTGGTAGTTGCTCCACCGCATCCTGAACAACTGGAGCTTGTTGCTGCTCTTGGGTCTGAGCCCCCTCTCTAGTACGAGAGTCATGTGGTGTGGTAGTCGCCCCACCACCCTGAGAAAAGCCCTCTAGCACACTTAACACCCTCAATAGTGCATCCTGAAGCAAAGGTGTGACTACAGGATATGGAGGAACCTGGTCCTCTCTGCGATCAATCTGAGGTTCTGTAGAGACCTCTCTAGCACGACCTCTCACTGGTGCTACTCCACGTCAACGACCTCTGGCTACTGTCGTACTACTAGCATGGCCTCTAGCTCAAGATCTACCCCTACCTCTAGCTGGGGCCTCAACAACTCCCTCGGGAAGTGCCTCCCCTCTACCACCAGTAACATTAGTTCTAGTCCTTGTCATCTGTCAAAATAGAATACAACAACTCCGTACTAAAGAAGGTGACTACGCACGACGAGAAAGTATGAACAAAAAGAAGTTTCGTAGTAATCCTCGTAGCCTTTCAGAGATAAGTACAGATGTCTCCGTACTGATCCTTGAGACTCTACGTAGACTCGGCTTGTATACACGTGAGACCTATGAACCTGGGGCTCTGATACCATTTTGTCACCACCCAAAAATGGGCATGATGGAACTCGTCTTATCCCACCAAGACAAGTCAGCCTAAAACCCATATCTAACAAAGTGCGGAAGTAAATGACAATCCAACAACAATTCCTATTATGAAACCAAGTTATATTAATCCAATCCCCAAAATCAGGTTGTCACGTGAACAAGCCTATAATGTAAATATTAGAATTGAAATAAAATAGAAGTCTAAAGTGAAGTTGTCTTTCAAGTAAAAACAAAGTCATAAACTGGAGTAGGAAAGTTCGCTGAGATGACAAGCAGCTACCTCACAATCCTCCACAAGATGCCTCGGAAACGAAGAGAATGGAAGGTATCACAAAAATCCGGGCTCGTAACCTACAAAAATTTGTAGAAGCAAGGGGTGAGTACCAAACCACGCGGTACCCAACAAGCCAACCTCTAAACACAAGTTAAGTGAACAAAATACGGGTACTCCTTACACCCTATCTAAACCTCCACGCTACAGCCTAACAGTTTACAGTTTACCAAACACACAACTCAATAAACACACTCTATCAGTTTACACATTCTCAATAACAACTCAATATTCAACAGTCACAAGCTTTACAGAGAAACAATCACAAGATCAGCAAAACATGTGTTCAAGTTCATTAATAATAAAATGTGCAATGCCTTGAGATGCAATGTCAAGTATAATGATGCATGTCTTTCTTAACGATATACACCCGCTATCTCTCAGTCCGGGACCCATGGGGGACATATCTGTCCATGCATCTCTCGCGGTGCACGACATGACCCTCGATAATAGTAACCATCGCGGTGCGCGATACGTCCCTCGAAATATAATATCCATCGCGGCGTGCAATACGACCCTCAAAATGATAATCCTTATACCACAATCATGTCTCAGATACAATGCAATTGACATGCTCAAATGAAAATGAGGAGATAACCATTTTGATAACAAAACACGATTTACAACCAGGAATACAACACCAACAAATAAGCAACAAGTCTGCATGTCAATTCAATTGGCTAAGGCAAGTGGATTTCTAAACCCTTATTAAGCGTGTGAAATTCGTGTATTTCTTTGTGTGGTGTTGAGAATGACTTGGAGACTTGTTTCTTATTTGTTGGTGTTGTATTCCCGGTTGTAAATCATGTTTTGTTATCAAAATGGTTATCTCTTCCTTTTCATTTGAGCATGTCATTTGTATTGTATCTGAGACATGATTGTGATAGGAGGATGTATCATTTCGAGGGTCGTATCGCGCACCACAATGGATATTATATTTCGAGGACGTATCGCGCGCCGTGAAGGTTACTATTATCGAGGGTATGTCATGCGCCGCGACAGATGCACGGACAGGTATGTCATCCATGGGTCCCGGACTGAGAGACAGCAGGTGTGTATCATTAATAAAGACATGCATCACGATATTTGACATTGCATCTCATGGCATTGCACATTTTTATTATTGATGAACTTGAACATGTGTTTTGCTGATCTTGTGATTGTTTCTCTGTGAAGCTTGTGACTGTTGAATATTGAGTTGTTATTGAGAATGTGTAAACTGTTAGAGTGTGGTTATTGAGTGGTGTGTTTGGTAAACTGTTAGGCTATAGCGTTGAGGTTTAGATAGGGCGTAAGGAGTACCCGTATTTTGTTCACTTAGCTTGTGTTTAGAGGTTTGCTTGTTGGGTACCGCGTGGTTTGGTACTCACCCCTTGCTTCTACAAATTTTTATAGGTTACGAGCCCGGATTTTTGTGATACCTTCCATTCTCTTCGTTTCCGAGGCATCTTGTGGAGGATTGTGAGGTAGCTGCTTGTCATCTCAGCGAACTTTCCTACTCCAGTTTATGACTTTGTTTTTACTTGAAAGACAACTTCACTTTAGACTTCTATTTTATTTCAATTCTAATATTTACATTAGAGGCTTGTGCACGTGACAACCTGGTTTTGGGGATTGAATTAATATGACTTGGTTTCATACTAGAAATTGTTGTTGGATTGTCATTTACTTCCGCACTTTGTTAGATATTGGGTTTTAGGCTTACTTGTCTTGGTGGGATAAGACAAGTGCCATCACACCTATTTTTGGGTCGTGACAATTAAGTCTTGAGCGGTTCATACTCTTCATCAACAAGATTTTTCGCAAGATGATCAGCAAAGGCCTAGGCTTTTATCGCCTTCTGAGTCACATACACAATATCAAATTCACTCAACAACATTTGCCACTTAGCTAACTTTTCGGTCAGCGTCGCCTTCTTGAGAATATACTTTAGCGGGTTTGGAAATAAGATATGTTGTATAAGAAGACAAATAATGCCTTAACTTCTGAGCAATCCAATTCAAAGCACAACAGGTTCTCTCTAGAAGAGTATAACGAGACTCATATGGCGAGAACTTCTTGCTTATATAATAGATAGCTCGCTCCTTCTTCCCTATTTAGTCATGCTGCCAAAGTATGCATCCGAATGCGTTATCTGAGACAGACAATTACAGGAACAAAGGACTTTCTTCTCGCGGAGTTACCAACACCCGTGGATTGGAAAAATAGTTCTTAATAGCATCAAAAGTAATCTGACACTCTTCACTTGAAGATAGGCTCGTACACCACATTTGATAGGGCAATCAATCGACTGATGTAGTTATACCTCCCTAAGAAACTCATCACTTCCTACTTAGTCTTCGGAGGAGGTAAATCTTAAATCGCCTTAATCTTGGAAGGGTTGATCTCAATACCCCTTTTGTTGTCTATAAATCCCAACAACCTCCGACTGGAACTCCAAAAG